TGGAAGGTTAATCAAGATCTCATAGTCTCCGCTGGTGTTGTTATACGCCTCAGATCAGCATCTTGGAGTAGCTTTATGCTATACAAGAGCTCATCGCTATTACTTGTTTACTTTTACTTAGTAGGTCAGTTAATTCCGCTGCTGTTTTGCGATAGCAGTTACTGAGAATGAGTTTTCTTAAAAAGTACAGTCGGCAACATTCGATGACGTCTGTTAGTAGCTATGTAGCTTATGCACCTGGGATTATTGGTAGAAAAAAAACCAGTGATTTTTAAGCCCACGGTGTGGTTAATTGAGAAGGTGTATTGCCTGGTGCAGTTTTGGGTACGAAACTCAAGCAAGGCTTATTTACGGAAAGTAGATATTGCCTTTACCCTATTTTTCATCTTCTTGAAGTATTGAATCAGAAGAGCTGCGTACACTAAGCAGAATAATACTTAAACGGATTTTTAGAAAACAGCATTCATAAAGTGAGAAAGATGTTACGTCTATGTTACTTCTTAGCTTTGCGCAGAGGTGATAACGTGACCAATGAGGCTCTGTCGAGGTGCGTTTATTGCTGGTTGAAAACTTTTCTGTATTGTGTATTATATGTTAGACAGAGCGAAGGAAAGCAAAAGCCGGAAACAGCACGGATAAGAAAAGCGACAGTACAGCTCCAGTTCACTTATCTCTCAAATTATGCGTATTTATCTCTAATTAATGTTAAGAACACATTCTCAATCGGATCACCGTTTTCCAAAAAGGTTCAGAGAAACTGTGCGAAAATTTATGCAGCTTGTAGCCCACTTCCAAGCTTTTGTATCGGAGACGAAGAATACTGAACCGACTACAGAATGTCCAGAGTTAGCTCGCAGACGCTACGCGGCTGCAGAATAAATGCTTCTGGACGGAAAGAACAAATTTTTCCACCTCTACGGATTTTCCCAATTCTAACCTGAATGATTTATCGGGAAATGTCTGTCAGAGAGGCTCGAGTTCGCCGTCAAATCACATGAGATGACATACGTTACACTTAAAATCGCCACTTCCAACAACTGAACATCTTTACAAGCTGCTCAGATCTCCTACGAGCAGCTCTAAGGGCAGTTCTGAGTTTTATGATTGCTATACTAGTGGCGGTGGCAGAAAATTCTCTTCGGAGGAGGTTGAATCGCCCGGCGCGCTCACATCTTTGGTTGTGAGAAC